CTGAAAATGTGCTCCAAACGGGAGCTTAATGTGAAATTATGTAAATTCATTTAATTGTACCTTAATGACACTTGGTACCAACTTGACCGACTAGTGTTATAACATCAGTTGTGCTAAATAACTTTAGTCTTCAGCTCAACCAACGTGTTTTTAGTAAGTCCAAAATTAGCCATGGATAACCAAATATAACACGACTGTCGTTCGTCCTCGGTCCAGGTGGCGCCCGAACGCCCTGAGGATATCAACATGTTTTCTGGACCTAGAAAGTATTGATCCAGAAGGTGTCATATCTCTTGTGTTAGCTAACTGCCCAATCTTTAGCCTTTTACATTGTGTGAATGTGACATACTATTTAAAGAAGCAACACGCACAAATTAGACAATTTTAATCAGTAATTATAACTGAAGGCCAAAAGAATGAAGTATGGGCTCAGTAAACTTTTTTGAGTCTACACATCATCTAAAATAATCTCAAATAGACTACAAACTTGCCTTTAAGAAGGATCAGTAATTTCTAAAGAATCAGTTACCAAAAGGGAAATGGAATCAGATGTAAATCATGTTTGCAATTCTTGATCTTCCCTCATTTATGTATCTATTTAATTGCACATAATTAAATGATTTCTGCTGCACTTTCATAGTGTTAATAGTGGTTAAATTTCTATAGCCTATACAAAAAGCATCTATTCATCTTTTTCGACAAAACCAACAGGAATAATGTTAAAGAAAGTGTAGATCTGAATATGAGAGAGAGAGGGAGAGATCATACAGAGCCAATCGCCGAGGTAGAAATGTTTGCCTTGAGCCCAAATGGTGTAGTTCACATTCGAAGTCCACCCCATGTTAGCTCCGACGATGTAACGCACTGCAGAGACCTCCGTCGGCATCGTCACCAGCGCTGCGCATGTCAACACCAACGCCGCCGCGGGCCAACCTATGCTCCGCCTCAGCCCCTCCATCTCTCGCTGTCTTTTGCAATCTGCTCTGAAAAACTTTACTCTCTCTCTCTCCCTCCCTCCCCTAGACTAGAGCATATATATAGCAACTCAGAGGTCAGATGTATTTGAGTTTCATGATTTAGTACAGCACTTTTTAATGCTTTTGTCAATGTGTGGGTTCACAAACTTTTACAAGGCTATAAATTTGAGTTTTTGAAAATTCAAAACGTTAAACTTTTTTTTTTGTCGTGTCACGTTCTCGGTAAGTTTATGACATTATCATACGGTTTTGTCCCCAATTCATTTTCATTTCCTATAATGCCCTTGAACTGGATAGAAATTGCCCTTCCACATAAATTCCCCCTCACCCAACCAAACACTCAATTCATCACTTCCCAGTTCCACCGTCCCCGCCATACCGTCGATGCCCTCTCCTCATCATCCACTCAATTTCGCTTCATCTACCATTCAAATGATGACTACTGTAGTCGCCAACTATAAATAGTATTATTTTATAGGAAATGCAAAATAATTAGAATACAAATAATCTAACAAATCGAATCCTAATTAACCAGAGCAAACGACGATTTGAGAACTATTTTTATCGCTATCTCAAAAAATAAAACAGCAAAAGCCGCATGCTTTACCCACGGACATCAAACAATAAGGCCAAGGCTGCATCCATGAAGGGTCCAGCGACTGCAGTCGTCTCCACTGGATTTCCAAATTTCTAGATTTGAAATTATATTTTACGTTTTGAATATTATCGTTGTTGTGTAATTTAAAATTATATTTTACGTAATTTTGTCTGGTTCACACTTAACCATAATCTGGGTCCACCCTGAATAAGGTATACATGAAGCTGAAACCAATTGAAGACTCACTACAATTAAGTTATATTTTACCTTGGAGGTTGTAACTATTAAACTATTAATATTACCTGCATATTAGTTAATATTTTATTATAGGTGGTTGTAATGTGATTAATATTAAACCTGAATTAATTAATTAATTATTTTTATTAAACCTGACTTCTGTTACAATAAAGCTGAATGTACAGCTCTGGTTCACATTTTTTTTCACATCCCCCTCACGTCGGGGTGACAATTGCAGGCCTCATCCCCATATGAGGGGACTGTGAAAAAAACTGTGAATTAAGACTGTAAATCTAGCATGCTTCCTTTTGTTAATCTGTGACTGTTTTTCTTAACCGATTTTCCAGCAACGGTCAAACTGTTCAAAGATTTATTTCCCAGCCTCATTGTCAGATTTCACACGCTGACAGTGGCTTCTTTACGGCTTTTAACCTTTTTTTTTCCTAAATAAAATAAGGGTCTGTTTGATTCATATTCTCTTCAAAATTCATTCTTTCAATCGTACATTTTTCAATAAAATAATATTACACGTAAATTTAAAACTTTTCTTTATTTTTTTAACCACATATTTTCCATCACATTACATCTTAAAATGCATTTTCTTCTCAATAACGTACATCAAACACCCCCTAAAGATTTACAATTTTTTTGTCATTATACTCTTTAATCATATTTAACACATCGAAATAAATGCCCATATTAATTTTTTTAGCCCATCTCCCTGTCCAAGTTATTCCTTCATTTTTCTCTAAAAAGAGCGATTAGAATCTTCAAGAACACTTCTAAACTTCTCACTTCGCTGGACGATTTGAGTTACGTGCTTTGTACGAGTAGTCATTTTTTAAGTGACACGATTGAGTCATCGTCAATTGATATTCAACCATTTCATCGAGTTACATCTAGTGCTTGTTTGGTAGTGATTTTTGGGGGAAGAATTGATTTTTGAATAGTGATATGATAGAAAATGTGTGGTTGAAAAAGAAAAAAAAAATTATTGAAATATTATTTTATTGAAGAATGTGTGGTTGAAAATGAGAATTGATTTACTATAGAATTTGAGAATAAAAAACAAACAGGCCCTAGTTGTATTGTTGAATTGATCACAATTGTTTTCAGGAGAGGTTGAGTAAAGATTAATACTGATTCAATTGTAAACTCAATTTGCACACAAATCCACACTCCTTGCTCATTAGTCCACGTGAATTTAATAATCGTACAAGCAGTATCAAAATGGTGCTTTAATGAGTATCGAATTCCAATTTCAAATCTCTCATCTTTTCAAACAGGCGTGTTTGGCTTACTTTTTAATATTTATCGATTGATAAATCTTTCCTTAAATAATTTTTTTTTTTGTAAGTTAAACAAGTAAATTATTTATTTTAAAAGCAATCTTTGTATTGCATCCAAAAAATTTTTTTTTTTTACATCCAGTTTGAACCCCATTTTTTTTTTTAAATGTATTTTGAATTTCCACATGGAAAAAGGAAAACAAAGAATGGTATGAATTAATTATATTTCCATCATATTTTTCTTTCGCCGCATTATATTCTAATTGTAATTGAGTTCTTCAATTTTTGCTCGTTATTACATTTGTATCCCCAACTATTTTCGTCGTATTCTTATCCTTAATCGTTAACTAATTAACTCACATACTCACATCTTCCTTGATGATATTTCTTTTCAAATATTCTATTAGCTTGCTTTGAAATGAGACATATTTTTTGTTGACGTTTTTGTTGTATTGTGCTTATTTTAAAATATGTGACACAAATAAGTCTAATTATGTCCTTGTAACAGATATTTTGTAAGGAACCCCGCCATCCAACAAGATTTGTCAAGTAATTGAAGGTTTACGATAAAACTACGATGAAGAAATTGGATATATAAGTTCTACAATGAACAAAGATTAGAGACCTTCAATACAATTTAAGTATTGTGCAGCAAACAATAAATGTGGTACGAATATGATAACCAAAAAATGAATTCTCATTGATCATAGTTGTATTTTGGTGAAATGATAATTATATTCAAACTACATTTTATCTAGTGCACGACATTTAATTGCAATTAAGACATTGAATGTTTTCTCATTGACACATTTATGTCTTTAATTTTTTTTTTTTTGATACTCAGATATCCCAACTTACACCAGAC